AACTGGAAACACAAAATGCAATCAGCAAACTAAAAAATGGTAAATCCCCTGGATCTGATCGGATAAGAAATGAAATGATAAAAAGTAGTAAACATACACTAATAAAACCTCTACAAAAATTGTTCAACCTTATCCTCAGTAGTGGTTTCTATCCCAGATCCTGGAATCTTGGCATTATCACACCTATTTTCAAAAAGCGTGATACCACTGACCCTGGTAACTATAGAGGAATCACTCTTCTCAATACTCTCAGCAAATTATTTACCTCCATCCTAAAACAAAGATTAACTAGGTATTTGCAAGAAAATGAAATAATAATTAAAAAAACAAATAGGTTTCATGCCAACATTTGGTACGCGAGACCATATTTTTGTCTTAAAACAACTAATTACAAAATTCACCAAAAAAGGAAAACAAGTTTACTCATGTTTTATTGACTTTCAAAAGGCCCGTGATTCTGTTTGGCATGAAGGTCTAATGCACAAGTTGAAACAAATGGGAATCAATAATAAGTTTTATAAAATAGTAAAAGACATATACCCAAATTCTGTTGGCTGTGTGAAAACCAAAAATGACCTGACGGACACCTTTCCTGTGCAAAGAGGCATCAGGCAGGGTGATGGTCTAAGCCCATTATTGTTCAATATATATATTAATGACATAAAAAAACATATACACTCGTCTGAAAATGATGCACCAACGCTTTTAAATCATAAACTCCCTTGCCTATTATACGCTGACGACCTGGCAATCCTATCGGAGACTAAATCAGGGTTACAAAATGCAATTACTAATCTTGAAACCTACTGTAAAAAATGGAAAATAAACATTAATATTGCAAAATCAAAAACTATCACGGCATGAAATCGCGTGTTTCCGGTACGGTTACACAACGGTTACATGACGGTTATGCAGTAAAACCGCCGCGTAACCGTCGGACTATGGGGGTGGCATATCCGTAGCGTAACCGTCAGCCGGAAATGCTACGTTTGTCGTCCATTCAGTCCAACGTAAATCAACGGTAATTTCTGAAAAACCGCAGATTTCCGTACAACGTTTATAACGTATACTTTTAAATAACCGCTGATTAAGTTGGACGTAAGAAACGTAAATGCAAAAATATACGCCTATTTACAGTGAGTACGTTGAAACTGAAACAACATATACAGCTGGGTAACCGATCATTACGTTAACGGTTTCCGGTGTATTCTTGTGTTCTTCCACGTCATGTACGCAGAGTACGCCCATTGTAAATTACATTTATTTTGACGTTTTCCGGGAACTGCCTTATAATATTT